GGTCGGGGACATTTGACAAGCCATGGGGACTGTATTTGGGAATCTTTGGGTATGAGACCCTTGATTCCGGTATACTCGAGTAATACCAATTCTGTACTGTTTGGTGTTCGGGCCCGGTAAGGGGAAAGTGAGGTGGATGGATAATTGGAGTAAAGAGGAGTCTACGGTCATGATTACCTGGTATACATTGACGGAGAGTCAATGAGATGAGATCAAGCATGGCAAAAGAGGAAAAGGGCTCTTGAGAGCCATCCGTATCCTTTTATTCCCTACACTTGGGTGTTGTTGATTTTACTTACTTGACGTGTGTAGACACCAAAATTTTGTTAAAATTTTAATGTTTTTCTTGAATACTTTTTATTGAATTATTTATTTTCTTACATTTATATATATATGTATTTCCAGGTTTGTTTCTTAAAAAAAAAAAAAGAAGAAAAAAAGATAAGAGGAAGTGGCGTTGGCCATCATGATGTTTAGATATCATGATGGCCACCAAATTTTGCTTTGACCAAGCTTTGGCAGACACATTTCCAGTAACGAATGGAAAAAGGAATGAAAAAGGCAAAAAGAAAAAGCAAAAGAAGAAGGAAAAGGAGCTTTTGGCTTCTATTATTGGCACTTTCTCTTGGACGAGATAAAGGGGGGGAGAATAGGTAAAAAAAAAGAGGAAGGAAAGCAACGGATCCAAGATAAAAGGGAGAAGAAGCAAGAGACTGGAGAGGGCGGCGAAAGAAAATTTCTGCTTCGTGTCCAACATTCCAGGCACAAGCTCCTAATTTTCCTCACATTGATTCAGTCCCCAACTACTTGCAGGTAACGAATACCTCTTAAGTTTGCCCATTTAACATTTTTTATAAGATTTTGTTGAAGCATTGCATGAATTTTCTTCGATGATACATGTATCTGTTAGTTTTTTCATTTTTGCGATCTTTATTGCTTCAAAGATTTGGGTTTTGATGGCTACAGATTTACTAAAAGAGTATTAGAGATGGTTAGATGTTAGTTTTAATATTATAACCACAGAGTTTTTGCTTCTTGGGGGTTCTAGGTCCGATCTCTTCCAAAAGCCAAAGCCATTTGCTGTTTGTTGTTTTTCCTCAAACTAAATCCTCCGTGTTTGATCTTTCAAAGTGTGCACCATAGCTTAAGATTATGTAAATTAAATGGGTGGAAGTTTTGTTGGTCTTAGATTGATAAACTAGTGGGTTTTACTTGAGTTTTTTTTTATTGCATTAACATACGTGGGTGGAATAAGAAAGAATGTTGCAGCAAACCCAGAAGGTTGCAGAAGAATTGTTGCATAGAATTTGCTGCGTCTATTCTTGTTTTGTATCTTTTGGATGGTTCACTTTAGTTTAGATTTTGGTTGAGTTTTGATGATTAGAGTTGCAAGTCATGTAGTTTTAGTTTGAATGTTTAATGTTTGATGTTTGACTGGATTTTGGTTGCTTGCATCTGACATAAATGCTACGCGAAGCAAGGTTGCAGAAAGCTTCTGAATTTGAGAAGAAGAATGCAGCTTTGCATGGGAAATTTTAGCCAATTTCACTTTAACCCCTCAAGTCTCTCCTTGTTTCACTAAAGCCCAAAAACTTCTGTAAATCAATCATGTTTACCCCTTTCAAGCTTAAATCTTTTTTTTTATGTTTTAATTGTGCTTTTAGTTAATTAATTCTGGATTTTGGAATGAAATTAAACTTTAACATTTTTTAGTTCAACTATTAGTTTGTTGGGTTTTGGTAAAATGAAAGGGGAATCGGATTTGGCTATTTGTTTGGGTTACTTGGATTTGGGTTAGGTTTTTTTTTTTTTCATTTGGGTTTGTCCTGGGCTGAAGGGTTAAGGCCCATCAGCTGGTTGATTTATTCTTGAGGTTAGAATAGTGGACTGGCTCTTTCCTTTTGCTTTGGATTTCGGTTGGGCTTAGGTAGTTTTTAGCCCAGAAATAAATAAAATGATGGCCCAGTGGCCTGATTTGTTAAGGAATAAGAAAATGTTTTCGCATATCAGTCCCTGTACTTTCAAGTACTTTCACTGCGGCCCAGAACATTTAAATTCCTTTCAACTCGGTCCTTAAATTAATTTCATTTTGGTCCTTGAATTTTATCTTTTATTTAATTTTGACCCCTGAACTTTGGAAAATATAATTTTTATCCCCCAAAAGTTTTCAATTTTTGCAATTCAGTCCTTAGCAAATTTTGGCTCTCTTTATTATGATTGTTTCTTTTTTAACTAATTATGTTACTTTTGAATATGTTCAACTTGTAATTTTAGATGTTTTAAATTTCTTTATGTTTGACATATTAGTGTGAATTTAGTACTTTTATTATTATTATTATTTTCAATTAAAGTGGTGCCATAATTCTTTTGTTCATTGTGAGTATAAATAGGACAATTTGACTCCATTTAGTCACCACTTCAAACGGGAGGTACCCCTATTTTTATTATTTCAATGTCAATTACGTGCTCTTATGTGCTTCTATGTGTTCCTATGTGTTTATGTATTTTTATATGCTTTATTTATTTGATTCAAATATTCATTCAAATTTTCTTATATACGTTTTAGTTAATTTTTATAATGATTCGAGAGGTATTTAAATACCTCAAAAATGTAATAGATAGGATAATTAGATTTGTTTTATTATATTTTTCCCTCCTAGATTGTAGTCAGGCGCTCCCCGATGTAATAGATAAGTTGTGTGTTTATGTGGCTTATGTGTTATGTGTTTTATCTGCTTTTCTTAGGACTTTGGCATATAGATATTATGCTTACGTGTTATGTGTTACGTGCTCTTATGTGTTTATTTGTTTTAATTTATGCTTTATTTGCTTCACTATATATTGTTAATGCATAACGTCACCACACTAGTCCAACGCTAGTTGTGGCTTCTCCCTCCGCTTACTTGCTAGTCCAACGCTAGTAAGTATTTTTAGAAATGGGTTAGTCCAACGCTATACCCTTAGATTGTTCATGCATTAGATTCATCTTTTGTGTGATATCCATTACATTTCCATGTATATTTTATTTTTTAGAATTTTCTCATTTGCATGATATTTTCTATTATATTATCCTCTACCCCCTACCCTCTATATGTGTTAATCAAATCATTTAGAATTGCACTTCATTTAAGAAATTGTGAAATAAGTTAGTTCATTTGCTTGTTCATATTAGGAGAATTATTTTTGAACATGGATATGGGTGATTATAACTCTTTAGTTTAAATATCCCATTAATCCTTGTATAAGAAAATTATGTCACGAGTTTTTGTCTCCCGTACCCATTATGCTGCATTTCCTTTTTCTTTGATCACTTATAACTATGTATATAATTTAATTTCTTTTCTTTACTTTTAATTTCATCATTTGCATACTCGTGACACCTTCAAGGAATTATTTTGGCCTTTGCAATTAATGCGATTGGTTCAATTAAACCCTTGAATGAACATTTGTTCCTTTCGATGTTTTTATGAATTTAGATTTGCATCCATGTAGAAAACATTCAAATGTGATAAATTAAGGGTTAAATTAAGAAAATTTTGACTAAACCACGCAACTAGCTTAGACTAGGTTGAAAGGGTGCCTTAGGTTTGAGTTGATTGAACCTTTGCCTTCCCTTTCTTCAACCGTGACTCCCGAACTCATTTTCTCTTGTTTTCAAAGACCTGGAGTTGTCTAAAAGGGTTTTATTTTATTTTATTTTGTTAAAAATATTTTTGGGTGACTTGGTACACCCAAACTCGATACCAAGTGGCGACTCCTAATTTTTCTTCAAAACCCTTTTAGACTAAATTTTGGACCCAAATTGTCGCATTTTTTTTAAGTCCCATTCTTGGTCCTTTTCCGTTTATTATTAATAAATCACATTTTTTATAAACACTTTCTTTTTCCATCGCAAAAAAATGGGGCGCGACAACTTGGCGACTCCACTGGGGACGTTAGAGAGTCCAAGCACTTGGCTTAGTCGTCTTTTCTCTTTTTAACCCTTATATTTATCATATTTGGATGTTTTAGGTTGCATTTTTCTTTTTTAGAATGTTTTGCATTTCACACTCGTAATCATTCCTCGTCTTACGTGTATGTGATGAATGGCTTATTTATTTATTTATTCGTATCGCGCATTGCATTTGGGTGGGGGAAAATAGCACCGTAGAGCCTCCACACGTGTTTTAATTATAATCTCTCCCCTCAAAAGGAAGCACTTCATACGTGCATGCATTATTTTTACCCTTTTTTTATTTTTCTCGTGGGCGCCATCCCACATCTCCTTGTAGGATTAGGATCGATTTCCTTAGGTAGGCGGATGGTGTGCTCTGCGCCCATAGCGATGCCTAAGGGATCACTCAAGCCACCGACCAAAGGTTTTGGGGTTGATGACCCTTAACTTTTTGGTCTGAAGGCTTGGGAGCCTGAAACCTTATCGAGTCTAGATGCATTAGTAAGCCAAACCTCATGCATCCATATTAGAAATTACCTAGGATAGAGTCAACATATCCAATTAGGAACACTAAGCACGAGGGGAGGGATTTCACCCCTCTTTCTTTGCTTTATTTACTTTTCATTCTTGTATCATTTATTGTCACAACGTGTTATATGTTACTTGTTGAACTAACCTCTCCTTGTTTTCCCTTTTTCTGCATACACAAACTTTAGAAATAAGAGTCCTAACATGGTACTCGTTTAAGATAAGACCGCCTCTTATATCAAGCATGTTTAAATTTTAGTATGCATATGTATTGCACATCATTTTAGGCTTACCCCGGCATTTAAAGGGGGCACCTTTAGGTCACATTTCAATTATTTCATTGTATATTTAATATGCTTTAATAAATTGTCATCATGCATTAACCATAGAGGGAATGCCGCATAGGAAATCCCACGGTAGGAATAAGTCACCTTTTGTCTCGGATATGTAATCCAATGAGACCTGCATGTTTATGATTTTGTATTGCCTAAGGGGTAAAATCCCGAGGTAAGGTACTAAGAGTGAAATTCCTCCTCAGATGGCTCCGTGCAGAATGCTGAACCAGATACCTCGGGAACTAACAGACTGGAAAAATAATATGACACATGAGGTGAAAAGACTGTTCAAATATGTGGGACATTTACCGAGTCTTCTAAGCATAACTCCAAATGTTGCAATCATTCAAGCTCTACTTGAGTACTGGGATCCAGAAGGTTCTATTTTTCGATTCGGTGAATGTGAACTAACACCAACTTTAGAAGAAATAGAAGGATTATTGCAGATACCTGGGAAAGGTTATCCTATGATATATCCAACTAATGGAACAAGGGAACAGTTTTATAGGTTTTTGGGATTAAGGCAGGTTAGTATGAACCAACATCCGGATGCGAGATCGTGTCCGTTAGAGTTTCTGTATGAACGATTTGGAGAAAGAGGGTCCTATGAACAGTACCGAACCGATTTTTTTATAAGTAAGGAGCAATGGGTAGAGAAGCGAGTGCAAGCGTTTGGATTAGCTTTGATCAATCTGTTGTTGTTCCCGCAAAAGCATGGAAAGATCACATTTTTCACTATCAACATGGTTCAGAGCCTATTTTCAGGGATTAATGGAATGACCCCTACCTTGGTGCCTGTAATCATTGCCGACATCTTCATGGCCGCTACTGAATGTCAAAAGAAAAGAGGTTTCTTTTATGGGTCAAATTTGATACTCCAAATGTGGGCAATGGAGCATCTAGCGAAGAGAACGCTCAATCCTTTGGGATCTTGTCTCCCCGCAGAGAATTGGATCGAATCACACCGAGAAAGGGTCAAAAAGTATTATCGAATTGCATCTCCGACTCAGTTTATTCAAGAGTTCGATAACTTGACACCTGAGAAAATACAATGGGTTTTGGATTGGACAAAAGTTAGGGATCCGGTTTTCACGACTACCCAACACAGTTTTATCCCCCTAGCAGGCACCAATGGATTGGTCGCATATATTCCGCAACGAGTCATGAGGCAATTTGGGTATCCGCAAAGAATTCCGATGATACAAGGGCTTGAAAATATCAGACTCAACACAGTTGCTGAAAGTCGGAGCATGGTATTGGAAGCTTGGGGAAATCTTCTTAGTTTAGAGAGCTTGCACTTGGATCAAGTGAACAAATTGGAACCTAAGGTCATTTCAGAGTATAATGAGTGGATCAAACTGACAATTGAACAAGCTCGAAAGAAGTCACAGTCCGCTCCTGTCAGCCCTGAAGAGCAGATAGACAAGCTGAAGAAAGAACTCGAGGATTATCAATTGCAACTCATAGTGGCCGACCATGCCCTGGAAGACGCTCGAGCGCAATTAAAGTGGGAGACAAGAAAAACTGAAAAGTTGGAGAGAGCCCTGGATGCATTTGACAAAATTCGAGAAGGAATTCGGAAGCTTAGTATAGGAAGGTCTAAGGAGTCTCAACGTACTAGTTTAGCAAGGCATGAGGATTTTGTAAAAATGGTCAATCGAACCATCAATGAAGCTGTACAAAATGATTGAACTTGTCAGTGGTTAATGAGAATTTCTACATTCACTTACAGGTTTGAAATTGGGATTTTACCCCGAAGGTGTTGCATCATATTAGGCCGACCCTTGGCACAAAAAGGGTTCCCCCATAGGACATGCATCCGAATTATTTAGATATCTACTAACTCATGATTTTTTTTTTCTTTTTTCTTTTTCTTGAATAAATTACAGCAATTTGACAGAAGATCCACTCCTAAATCAGTTTCTTTTTCCCACTTGCAGATATTTTTCACAATTGCTACCCAAAGAAGCCCCATCATCACCAGGTCTCGAAGTAGAGCCTTGAGACAGCCTGTAAACATGAGTTCAATGCCTGAGGCTTCGGAAAGATCTGCTATGGTTACATCACCGGACTTCACAGCATTGGGAGCTCAGTTAAGTGAGGTACTTGACAAGTTCAATGACTTAAGTGTTGAAATGGCCGCACAGAGGCGTGTCATTGATCAGTTGGTAACAAGCAATAGCGGTGGTGGTGTCCCAAATGACCGAGAACCTGTCGATACCCACCCACATGCACAAGACAATCAACCACCTCACACATCCAATGCCCAGACAACTTTCCTTCCTTCCTTCGCTAATCCCCTTGAAAATACCTTTACCCAACTAAATTCAGACCTTTCCTATACGCATCCGAATTATATACTGATTAACCCAACCAGTAACCAAATCCCTCAAACCCATCCACAAACTAATCTGAACGTTCCCCCCAACCCTCAGGAACCTCACCATCACGTTGCAGCACCTTTTGTGTTGGACACTGCAGCTCAAGGGAAGGCGGCGGTAGAAGAACAACCTGTGCCTATTGACAAAGATCTGTTGAGAAGATTGGATCGATTCGATGATTTTATGAAAAAGAATCAAGGATTGAGCAGGCATAGTGGGTTGGATTACGATGAATTGTGTCTTTTCCCAGATATTCAGCTACCATTGGGATTCAAAACTCCCAAATTCAGCAAATATGATGGAACTGGAAATCCCAAGACGCATCTTAAGATGTTTGCCAACAAGTTAGGTAAGCCAGTGGATGATGAAAATTTGCCTATGCGTCTATTTCCGGAAAGTTTAGAGGGGGACGCTCTAGATTGGTATTCAAATTTGAAATCTGGAGAGGTAAAAACTTGGTTAGATCTGTCAACAGCTTTTGTGAAGCAGTATGAGTTTAATTGTGAATTGGCACCAACACGAACAACACTGGAGGGTACAAAAAGAAAGCCATCGGAAGATCACAAGACCTATGCAAAGCGGTGGAGAAAGTTAGCTGCCAAAGTGGAGCCACCCATGACTGATGAGGAGATTGTTCGTACTTTCATCAAGGCTCATGATCCACCCTACTTCGAAGAGATTTTTCGCATGACTGGAAGTTCATTTGCCGCTATTATTAACAAGTTGGAGGAATACGACGAGTTTGTCAAGGCAGGGAAGATTGTTAATGTATCGACATTGAAGTTGCAATTGGATGCTCTACAGAATCAAAGCAACATTGGGAAAAAGTCCCAATTCAAGAAGAAAGAAGGAGAAACTGCTTTTATATGGGATCAAGGCCCGTCTTTTAGACCCAAAAACCATCCCATCTATTCTGTTCCTTACCAGTATTACACCAACGCTCAACCAGTCTACCACGCTACTACCCAACTCCATCATTCCCGACCAAGTCATTTGAATACCTCACCATTACCTCCGACTCCACAACCTATCTTTCAAAATCACTCCCGTCCCAATTATTATCCCAGACCAACCCTACAAAATAATAACCCTTCTCAAAATCCTTTTCAAACCAGGGAAGTGCAAAATCAAAGGCAATTTCGAACCTTCACCAATTTGGGCCGACCCATTGATCAATTGTATGAGCAGTTAAGAGCAGCGGGAAAAATTAGCACTGTTCCTCCCAAACTCTATCCCAGAGGTCCTCCTGACAGTTATGATCCACAAGCAATCTGTGCCTACCATTCTGGAAGTCCAGGCCATACCACTGGCAATTGTTGGGCTCTAAAACATAAGATCCAGGATATGATTGATTCTGGAGACATCGTTCTTAGAAGAAAGGGAGAGCAGGGACCGAATGTTAGTAAGAATCCTTTACCTGAGCATGGGAACACTGTGGGAGTTATCATCGCTGATGAAGATTGTGTAGATCCCACTCAGTACATTGTAGATGAAACTGAAGTGTTTGGCGTGATGGAGGCTGATCATGCGAGAATGAGAAAACTGTCGCCTGTTGAAAAGTCCATGACTAAGGATAATGTCGAGGGAAATTTGAAATCTTTTGTGTTTGAAAAAGAGGAGCCATTCATAGCAGAAGGGGGAGTTTCCGAGGTTAACAAAGTTCCTTTTATTCTGGATCTGCCATCTTTTGAATGGGATGTATCAGAGCCTGTTATTCTCGAATTTCCAGAACAAATGCCTGTCAATAACTTGCAAGAGATACCATGGAACTACGAGGAACCTAGTCTGTTGATTGGAGATAAAAAATGCTTGAAGGAGGAGGTACCTACTATTGCCAGGTTTGAAAAAGTTGCGAAAAATACCGAAATCGGCGTTCAATTCAAAGCCAAGGATAATTCTTCAACCCCTAAGCCTCTTGTGTCTGAAAAGGAAGCTGTGGATTTTTTAAAGATGCTGAAGAGAAGTGAGTACAAAACAGTGGAGCAATTGGATAGGATGTCTACTCAAATTTCTTTTCTGAATCTTCTCTTGACCTCCGAGCTACATAGAGAAGCATTGCTCAAAATTCTGAATGAAGCTCAAGTCCCTAAGGATATTCCGGTGGATAAATTTTCTAACATCGTGGGGAATGTACTTGCTGCTAATCATATTGCCTTCTCTGATGACGATCTGACTGTAGAGGGGATCGGGCATAACAGAGCCTTGTATATATCAGTCCGTTGCAATGGAAAGCTGTTGCCGAGGGTTTTAGTGGATAATGGGTCAGCGTTGAATATCTGTCCATGGAACACTCTCACCAAGCTTGGATTTCTTGATATTAAACTCCGTCCATCTGCAACTGTGGTTCGAGGATTTGATAGTTCAAAAAGGGAATCTATGGGTGAAGTAGATCTGGTATTGGAGATAGGCCCTGCTCAATTCCAAGTTACTTGCCAAGTCATGGACTTCTCCGGCGTTTACAATATTTTGCTTGGAAGACCTTGGATACATGCTTCCAATTCAGTGCCATCTTCGTTGCATCAAATATTGAGATTTATTGCGAATGATCAACTCATTACTGTGTTTGCTGAGGATGACTGTACCATGATCGTTGATGCAAAATTCAATGGTGAAAACAGACAAAGGAATCCAATTTCAGCTCATCATGTTGCTGACATCGTCTCTGTGGGATGGGCATCCAGGGATAAGTCTCTAACTCATTCAGATTTGCCAGAGGCCAGTATTATGATGGCGAGGGAGATGATCCGAGGCGGATACGAAATAGGAAAAGGTCTTGGGAGAGAATTACAAGGAATTTTGGAGCCAATAGAGATCCCGACGCAGAAGGATACATTTGGATTGGGATTTCATCCGACTGCTAAGGATAGAAAGGAAATGCAAGCTCGAAAACAAGCTGAAAAGAAGGGCAAGCAAACTGCCTTAAATATCCCGCCGCTATATCACACTTTTCCTCGTCCATCAGAAGTGATCATGCCAGAAACAAAAAATTTTGTGGAAGAAATTGAAGTGGACCTATCTCAATTATTTGTCGGGGCAATTGATGAAGAGGAGCCATCAGAGAATTTAGAATTTTTGCCAATTATCGAGGGAGCCATTCAAAATTGGACTGCTGATTATTTTCCCTCTCGAAGGGAATTTCGGTAAATTTAAGGGGATTGTCTTTTGTCTAGATTCATATCTAGATTGCACGATAGTCTGGAGATTTTGTTAAAATAAATTGCTTTTAATTTCTGAAGTTTTATTCCCATTTCAGTTTGTATTGTTTGTTTTGTTGAAGAAAAATGATTGGAATGGATGATATGTTTTTAAATGGCAATCATGTTTGTGTATTTGGCCTTTTGTGAAGTTTCAATGCATTTTGAATTTAATGAAATGGACGATTTCTCTTGTATTTTCTATTTATTTATTACATATGTTCTATTTCATTTTCAGATGGCCACAAATAAAACCCTTCGACCCTTTGGATGTCACCATTTTGGAATTCGATGGCTGCAATCTCGATATCTTTCATGAGCTTGAAATCATGCAATCTGAAATTCAAAACGAGAGCGACAATGAGGAAGAATTTGAGTCTGTTTCCAGAGATTTAATACAGTATGAAGAGAAATCCAAACCCAACTTAGAAGAAACAGAAATCATCAATATTGGCACTAAGACCGAGGTTAAAGAGGTTAAAGTCAGCATTCATTTGAATAAGAAACAGAAGGAGGAAATGATTGAATTCTTAATGCTATTTCAAGATGTGTTCGCATGGTCCTACGATGATATGCCAGGGATCTCTACAGATATAGTGGTTCACAGGTTGCCAATTGATCCAAATTTTTTACCTGTAAAGCAGAAGCCGCGTAAATTCAAACCAGAAATGAGTCTCAAGATAAAGGAACAAGTTGTGAAGCAACTCAATGCTAAGATAATCATGGTGTCTCATTATCCCACCTGGCTATCGAACCCTGTGCCAGTGCCTAAGAAATCTGGTGAAGTGCGAGTATGTGTTGATTACAGAGATTTGAATAAGGCCAGTCCGAAAGACGATTTTCCTTTGCCAAACATTCATATTCTTTTGGACAATACTGCTGGACACGAAATTGAATCTTTTGGTGATTGTTTTGCTGGGTATCATCAAATTTTAATGGCAGAAGAAGACAGAGAGAAAACCTCTTTTATCACCCCATGGGGAACCTTTTGTTATCGAGTGATGCCTTTCGGGCTGAAAAATGCTGGAGCCACTTATCAGAGAACCATGACTACTTTGTTCCATGACATGATTCACAAGGAGATGGAGGTTTATGTGGATGATATCATAATTAAATCCAAGAAGGTTGATGACCATTTGGTTGATTTAAAGAAGCTGTTTGAAAGATTGAGGAAGTATAATTTGAAGTTGAACCCTGCAAAATGTGCTTTTGGAGCTCCGGCTGGTAAGTTATTGGGTTTTATTGTCAGCAAAAAGGGCATAGAGATAGATCCTGCGAAAATAAAAGCAATTCGAGATATGCCCATTCCAAAATGTCAAAAAGATGTGAAAAGTTTTCTTGGAAAGATCAATTTCATTGGCCGATTCATTGGACAGTTAACCTCTACCTGTGAGCCTTTGTTCAAATTGTTGAAAAAGAATGCGTCAATGGATTGGAATGAAGATTGTCAACAGGCTTTTGATAAGATCAAGAATTATTTGTTAAATCCTCCGGTCTTAGTGCCACCTCAGCCAGGGAGACCTCTGATTATGTATTTGTCTGTTCTTGATGAGGCTGTCGGATGCGTTCTGGGACAGCATGACGAGTCTGGGAGAAAGGAACAAGCCATCTACTATCTGAGCAAGAAATTTACAGCATATGAGGCCAACTATTCTTTCCTTGAGAGAAGTTGTTGTGCTTTAGCATGGGCAGCTCAGAAGTTGAGACATTATTTGCTCGGTTATACCACTTACTTGATTTCCCGTTCCGATCCTCTGAAATACCTGTTGGAAAAGTCGATGCCCACGGGACGTATGGCTAAGTGGCAAATGATCCTTTCCGAATTCGATATTGTCTTCACAACACAAAAGGCAGTCAAGGGTCAAGTTATAGCAGATCATTTGGCAGAAAATCCAAGAGATGATGATTATCAGCCATTGCATACCTACTTTCCTGATGAAGAAATCCTGTTCGTTGGAGCGGTTGAGGACATGAGTGAGCAGTATCCTGGATGGAGGTTATTTTTTGACGGTGCGTCAAACTCTTTTGGAGCTGGAATTGGAGCAGTTTTAGTATCGCCTGAAGGGAAACATTATCCTGCTACTGCCAAATTACGATTTCCTTGTACCAACAACATGGCTGAGTATGAAGCTTGTATTTTTGGATTGAAAATGGCATTGGACATGGAGATCAAGGATCTGATAGCATTCAGTGATTCAGATTTACTTGTGCACCAGACGCTTAAACAGTGGGTAACTCGGGATTCAAAAATTATGTTGTATCATTGTAACTTGCTTAGTTTGGCCAGCAAATTCAGGAATTTGGAACTCAGACATATTCCCCGCACTCGTAATGCCTTTGCTGATGCTTTAGCTACTCTGTCTTCGATGATCCAACATCCAGATGAGCTGGTGATTGAACCTATACAGATTCAACTTCAGAATAGGCCAGCGCATTGTCTGGTTACAGAAAGGGTCACTGATGGTCGCTCCTGGTACAAGGATATTAAGGAATTCATGAAAACAGGATCCTACCCTCCTGATACTGATTCTGTTGCAAAAATTTTCTTACGCAGAATGTCATCAAGATTCTTCTTGAATGGAGAAGTGCTATACAAGAAAACATCTGATTTGGGCCTTCTGAGATGCATCAATGAAGAGGAAGCCGATTATATGATGAAAGAGGTGCATAGTGGGGTTTGTGGGCCACACATGAATGGGCATCTACTGGCTAAGAAGATCATGAGAACAGGATATTTTTGGCTTACCATGGAGCATGACTGTGTAGATTTTGTTAGAAAATGTGTTAAGTGTCAAATGCATGGTGATATTATACGTGCTCCTCCTACAGAATTGCATAGTATGACTGCTCCATGGCCATGTTCGATCTGGGGAATGGATGTGATCGGAACTATTGATCCTTCTGCTTCAAATGGGCATCGATTCATTTTAGTGGCGATTGAATATTTCACCAAGTGGGTTGAGGCCGCATCCTATAAGCATGTGACTAAGAAAGTGGTGTCGGATTTCTTGAGAAATAATATCATCTGTCGTTTTGGGGTACCAGAGACGTTGATCACTGATAATGCCAAGAACCTCAATAATGATATGGTGGATGGATTATGTGAACAGTTCAAGATTAAACATCGAAATTCGGCCATTTACAGGCCTCAGATGAATGGAGCCGTTGAAGCTGCAAATAAAAATTTGAAAAAGATTATTCGTAAGATGACTGAAGCACACCGGGATTGGCATGAGAAGCTGCCTTATGCACTAATGGCGTACAGAACTACCATCAGAACTTCTACTGGTGCAACTCCTTTCTCTCTTATGTATGGAATGGAAGCAGTCCTGCCTGCAGAAGTTGAAATTCCTTCCTTGCGCATTCTGATGGAAGCTCAGATAGAAGAAGCTGAATGGGTTAGAGAACGTCAGGAGCAGTTGTCTCTAATTGATGAAAAGAGATTGAATGCCGTCTGTCATGGACAATGTTATCAGCCACGAATGGCCCGTGCTTACAACAAAAAGGTTAAGCCCCGTTTGTTTGAAGTTGGAGATAAGGTTTTGAAACGGATTCTTCCAATGCAAGATGAGGCTAAAGGGAAGTTTGCTCCCAATTGGCAAGGACCATTCATTGTTAAGAAAGTGCTATCCGGAGGAGCGCTTATCCTTATGGAAATGGACGGTCAAATTTTTCCCCAACCAATCAATGCAGACATGTGCAAAAAGTTTTTCATTTGATTATAAAAATTTTCTTTAAAAAATACTGCAAGAGACGGATTTAAGGCATACTTCCTCTCATTGTTCCATTTCGATGTCTTATCCCTAATCTGTTTTCCCTTTTGACTTTTCATAACCACATTTTTTTTTTCTCGCTTGGCAGTCCCTTAAGATCACTAACCCCTATACCGGGGCAATTTTGTTTCTTTGAAAAAAAAAAAAAAAAGTAAAAAGTAAAAGAAAAGTATAAAAAAAGAAAATATAAAAAAGCGGGAGAGGTAGTTTTATCTCTGCCAGAATTAAACTGGGGGCAAATTTTATCTCTTTCTTCCCCTAGATCGGCGAAGCTTTGACAGAATGCTTATCTCAATGATTGCACAACCCATTCATATGATCCGCCTGGTCAATCCTTGTCAAGCCTTAACCTTTCCGGTTGCCGAATTTCATCTTCTGCCAGTATTTTTGAAAAAAAAAAAAAAAAAAATTTCTTATCAACTAGCAAAATGACATGTAAATACAACTTTCGAAACATGGTCAGAGAGATATGCCATGATGCGCCACTATTATCAGAGCATGGACTGCCAAGTGATACGGTTGGCGCGTTAATTTATCTTATCTATGTCTCTAGGTGAAAACTGAAGAGGCACCTTCTAAAAAAAAAAAGAAAGAGAAAAAAAAAAGAAAAAAAGAAAAAGACAAGAAAAGAAAAGAAAAAAAAAAACAAAACAAAACAAGAAGAAAAAGAAAAAATAAGAAAAAGGGGTGGGGGTAACCTTAGTGAAAACCCAAAAGGGCGCTGAGGTAGGGTTTTGGAGTACAAGAGAATCAGCAACAGAGAATAAGATGTTGAGGTCTGAAAGCTGGTGACTATGTTGATTTGGGTCTCTTTCATACTGTTGTTCTTTTGCCGACAATGAATTCCAAAATGGATGACTACGAAAGGGTCAGATGGAGCATTTTTCCTCATCAAAGGCCATCCTCTAAATACGAATCCGAATTTTGATCCTTGGGCCTTTATTCAAAAATTCAACAATTTTGTATTACTATTCTATTTGCTATTTTTTTTATTTATTGTGTATCATTGTTCATTTCATATTAGCATTATTGCATGATGAATACTATTTTTTTTTATTTTATTTTATTGTTTATAGTTTTCATATTTTGGGTCTCATTCAAAAGACAATCCCCTATAATTTATCTCTAAAGAGTCATGAAATTTAAGATCCTATGATACTAAAGTACGGACAATTGACATTTGACAGTTGCAAAGGTTTTGAAGGGTTGTCGGCTGAACCTAAGGGAGCGATTGGTTGATATCGAAACTCATGTTTACATGGTTCTCAAGGCAAAAGGATCACATGGTGGTGGCAGCGTTTTTGTCATAGTTGTTTCTTTTCCTTTTCTCCTTTTTGCAGGAAAAATTATGTGACACAACACTGGTTCATTTGAGCATGATTCACACTGGGGCAACCAGTAGAAGGATTAAGTTCCGAATTTCGCTGGGCATTTCCGAAGAAAGAAAAGAAAAATCACAATTTTCTTTCTTTTAAAGTTCAAAAATCAAGAGGAGACTGTAAGTCCACCAAGTTTCGAGTATATTTTCATTCTCTTGAACTACCTAGATTCTTGGCAAAAATCAATTTAAATTCCTGTTGGTGAGTCTCAGCGTCCACCGCGCACCCTTCTATCTCCCATTCTTAACAAATTTAATTTTCTGTTGGAGCGTAATCGCGTCCCTCCGCGCATCAATTTAAATTCCTGTTGGTGAGTCTCAGTGTCCACCGCGCACCCTTCTACCTCCCCTTCTTGACAAATTTAAATTCCTGTTGGTGAGTCTCAGCATCCACCACGCACCCTTCTATCTCCCATTCTTAACAAATTTAATTTTCTGTTGGAGCGTAATCGCGTCCCTCCGCGCATCAATTTAAATTCCTGTTGGTGAGTCTCAGCGTCCACCGCGCACCCTTCTATCTCCCATTCTTAACAAATTTAATTTTCTGATTGGAGCGTAATCGCGTCCCTCCACGCATCAATTTAATTTCCTGTTGGTGAGTCTCAGCGTCCACCGCGTACCCCTCTATCTCCCATTCTTAACAAATTTCATTTTCTGTTGGAGCGTAATCGCGTCCCTCCGCGCATCAATTTAAATTCCTGTTGGTGAGTCTCAGCGTCCACCGCGCACCCTTCTACCTCCCCTTCTTGACAAATTTAAATTCCTGTTGGTGAGTCTCAGCGTCCACCGCGCACCCTTCTATCTCCCATTCTTAACAAATTTAATTTTCTGTTGGAGCGTAATCGCGTCCCTCCGCGCATCAATTTAAATTCCTGTTGGTGAGTCTCAGCGTCCACCGCGCACCCTTCTACCTCCCCTTCTTGACAATTTAAATTCCTGTTGGTGAGTCTCAGCATCCACCGCGCACCCTTCTATTCCCCTTCTTGACAATTTAAATTTCCTGTTGGTGAGTCTCAGCGTCCACCGCGCACCCTTCTATCCCCATTCTTGGAGCGTAACCGCGTCCCTCCGCGCATCTTTTTCTAGTTATGACAAGTTGCTTTTCTTGACTGTTTTGGTTAATAATTGTGCTTTATCATTCATTTTTGTATTTCATGTTTAGAAGTTCTGAGAGCTCAGACTTTTTAGACTTTGCAAAGATCACAGATGGTCAATGCACATATTTCATTGTGATTCATTGGTTTTTGAACTACGTTTGACCTAATTCCCATGGTGGGATACGTAGGCAACTCTACATGAGTTCGGTCACGTGTTTTGTAATTTCGTTGTATCTTGTATTCAATAATCTCAGCCAAGTGTTGGTTTGTTTGTTTTAACTCAGATGCAGTTAGAAGAGATAGGTAAGCATTTTGGTGTCTACGTCTTTGTCTTGAATTTCCCTGAAACTCTAGACAAAGAGGGGCAAGCTGTAGACACCAAAATTTTGTTAAAATTTTAATGTTTTTCTTGAATACTTTTTATTGAATTATTTATTTTCTTACATTTATATATATATGTATTTCCAGGTTTGTTTCTTAAAAAAAAAAAGAAGAAAAAAAGATAAGAGGAAGTGGCGTTGGCCATCATGATGTTTAGATATCATGATGGCCACCAAATTTTGCTTTGACCAAGCTTTGGCAGACACATTTCCAGTAACGAATGGAAAAAGGAATGAAAAAGGCAAAAAGAAAAAGCAAAAGAAGAAGGAAAAGGAGCTTTTGGCTTCTATTATTGGCACTTTCTCTTGGACGAGATAAAGGGGGGGAGAATAGGTAAAAAAAAGAGGAAGGAAAGCAACGGATCCAAGATAAAAGGGACAAGAAGCAAGAGACTGGAGAGGGCGGCGAAAGAAAATTTCTGCTTCGTGTCCAACATTCCAGGCACAAGCTCCTAATTTTCCTCACATTGATTCAGTCCCCAACTACTTGCAGGTAACGAATACCTCTTAAGTTTGCCCATTTAACATTTTTTATAAGATTTTGTTGAAGCATTGCATGAATTTTCTTCGATGATACATGTATCTGTTAGTTTTTTCATTTTTGCGATCTTTATTGCTTCAAAGATTTGGGTTTTGATGGCTACAGATTTACTAAAAGAGTATTAGAGATGGTTAGATGTTAGTTTTAATATTATAACCACAGAGTTTTTGCTTCTTGGGGGTTCTAGGTCCGATCTCTTCCAAAAGCCAAAGCCATTTGCTGTTTGTTGTTTTTCCTCAAACTAAATCCTCCGTGTTTGATCTTTCAAAGTGTGCACCATAGCTTAAGATTATGTAAATTAAATGGGTGGAAGTTTTGTTGGTCTTAGATTGATAAACTAGTGGGTTTTACTTGAGTTTTTTTTTATTGCATTAACATACGTGGGTGGAATAAGAAAGAATGTTGCAGCAAACCCAGAAGGTTGCAGAAGAATTGTTGCATAGAATTTGCTGCGTCTATTCTTGTTTTGTATCTTTTGGATGGTTCACTTTAGTTTAGATTTTGGTTGAGTTTTGATGATTAGAGTTGCAAGTCTTGTAGTTTTAGTTTGAATGTTTAATGTTTGATGTTTGACTGGATTTTGGTTGCTTGCATCTGACATAAATGCTACGCGAAGCAAGGTTGCAGAAAGCTTCTGAATTTGAGAAGAAGAACGCAGCTTTGCATGGGAAATTTTAGCCAATTTCACTTTAACCCCTCAAGTCTCTCCTTGTTTCACTAAAGCCCAAAAACTTCTGCAAATCAATCATGTTTACCCCTTTCAAGCTTAAATCTTTTTTTTTATGTTTTAATTGTGCTTTTAGTTAATTAATTCTGGATTTTGGAATGAAATTAAACTTTAACATTTTTTAGTTCAACTATTAGTTTGTTGGGTTTTGGTAAAATGAAAGGGGAATCGGATTTGGCTATTTGTTTGGGTTACTTGGATTTGGGTTAGGTTTTTTTTTTTTTCATTTGGGTTTGTCCTGGGCTGAAGGGTTAAGGCCCATCAGCTGGTTGATTTATTCTTGAGGTTAGAATAGTGGACTGGCTCTTTCCTTTTGCTTTGGATTTCGGTTGGGCTTAGGTAGTTTTTAGCCCAGAAATAAATAAAATGATGGCCCAGTGGCCTGATTTGTTAAGGAATAAGAAAATGTTTTCGCATATCAGTCCCTGTACTTTCAAGTACTTTCACTGCGGCCCAGAACATTTAAATTCCTTTCAACTCGGTCCTTAAATTAATTTCATTTTGGTCCTTGAATTTTATCTTTTATTTAATTTTGACCCCTGAACTTTGGAAAATATAATTTTTATCCCCCAAAAGTTTTCAATTTTTGCAATTCAGTCCTTAGCAAATTTTGGCTCTCTTTATTATGATTGTTTCTTTTTTAACTAATTATGTTACTTTTGAATATGTTCAACTTGTAATTTTAGATGTTTTAAATTTCTTTATGTTTGACATATTAGTGTGAATTTAGTACTTTTATTATTATTATTATTTTCAATTAAAGTGGTGCCATAATTCTTTTGTTCATTGTGAGTATAAATAGGACAATTTGACTCCATTTAGT